CGTCCTTAATAGAAGTGTATTTTTATGTAGATCAGATTGCAAACTCTTTATTATGAGAAAATTAATAAAGTGTTAAAAATAAATATTGTGTCCAGAATTTTTTTATTATAATCATGTTACCAAAAATCTTTGAAATAATCACTTCATTTATGATTAAATAGTCAAATGAAACAGCAAATTTTAAATTACTGCTGATATTTAATTAAGTGCCTTTTTTTCAGGACGATTTACATATAAATGGTCAGGAAAGGTAAATAAATATAGAACTAATGAATTAGTGTTAAGCTTCCATTTACAGTACTATTAGCATATAAATGCTCAGGAAATGTAGTTAGATATAAAACTAATGAATTAATATTTTATACCTATTGTATTAAATCTAGCCATGTTGAGACATGCTGATACATGTCGTGGACATCATTATCTCTGACATCATGGCCACCTGTCATAGCGGCCTAGCAATGTGTGGCTAAAAACTCACCCTCTGGTTCCACTTCATTAAACTATTACTTAATCGACTCTGACGTCATGTCCGCCTATCATGGCGACCTAATAACGCACCCTCTCTGATGACATCATTGTCTCTACCCATTTCCTTCCTCCCTTTATTGTCCGAGGTCGACATATGTGTAGCGCCCTCTAACGGTGTTGCACAGGTAATGCCTTAACTACTTACGACGCAATATTTTATCTAGTGTGCCTACGATAAAATGCACAATACGACAGATCTAAATTCGTGAATAATTTGTATTAAATGGGATGGGAGGAAGGGGGTTAGGACATTTATGAAAGAATGGAATAGAAACGTTGAATGCGAAAAATGAATTAAAACTCATGAAATGCCTTCGTGACGAACAAATATATCGCATGATTGGTTACTTGTAAGTCTAGTCGATTAATTCGCGTTTAAGGAAAGTACGAAATACTCAAGGTAGACCTTGGTTAATAAGTTGTGTTTTGATGATAATTTCAACGTAGTAAAAGGTTAAATTCCTTGAAATTTCAAAGTTTTGCCAACTAAACAAGTCTCATTAAAACATAATACACATTTATTACATTTCAATAAAACGAACAAGATGTTCCAGATAAGTTAGAAATTTTTTCGACTTTTCACTTATAACACTTCTTGAAGAATTATCATAATTACACACACACACACACGCACGCACATCCATTAGAAGTAAACAAATATAATTTCACATATAGCAGAACGAGCAAACAGATCAACTACCAAGGAAGCCCATCCTCGGTTCTAAGAGCCAAGATGTTCTCCAAAATTTGTGTTCGAAATCGTAAATGAATGATCCAACGGTGGGTCGGTGGTAAGTCTACAAAATTACAATGCAAAAGTCAGGGGTTCGATTTCTAGCGGTGAACAAAGTGCAGATAGCAAATTGTGTAGCTGTGTACTAAAAACAAAACACCAACCAACCAACCAACCACCAACCAATGATCCAACAGACCATTACTACCTTATACCTGTGAGCCGTGCAAGAAAGGCACTATTGTGAAGGAACTTAAAGCAATACATGCATTGTAGAAGAAACAAAGAAATAGAACGCATAAAACATAAAAACAAATACATATATAATCAAGAGAATAAAATTATATAAAAATGTATATAGCTACAAATATAAATTAAAGAAGTTCATAACATGATACATTAAATGAGCTACCATTACACTTCTATTTTGTTAATTTCTGGCTGGAGTTGTTGTTGTTCTGTTAGTATGAAATTACACAATACGATATATGCACTACGAACACCGCGAGAAATCGAATCCTGCTTTTACGAGTTTGAAGTCCATAAACTTAAGCCAACCCCTGGGGGAATTCTGGGATGCATTCATTGATATAATATTTTTTATCTTTTTATCAAAGAATAATCGACTTATGTTGGAGCTTTTTTAAGCTTAGAGAATAAATATAAATAAGTGAGCCATATTGTGAAAGATAGTGAGTTAGTGTAGTTTATACCCATATAGATATTCATACTTCTACATGCAAAAAGAGACTTCATAGTTTCAGTTAAATTTAAAACTCGCAATTTTTTTAATGGTGAATTGCAATATGGAATTGAAATTTTCAATCTGAACGGCACCTTATACCCTAATGGGCTAAACGACTAGGCCAGAGACCTCTAGGGATCACCTATAGTCGTTCTTAATTTTGAGTTACTGACCACGCAGAGATTAGGCAATCAGACAGTAGCATTCGTTTCTACAAGGGCTTGCCTAGATTTTTCAACCGGATAAAACGAATTGACTCTTACTTTTATAACGCATATACAAGTGAAAATGCTTAATTGTAATATGAAAGCATGTA